TGGGGTTTGCATGCAAACGTCGGGTTGTATGTGGTGGAGCAGGTCACTGGATATGAAGGGAGGATCTTGAATTTGAACATCAACATGTTTTCTTCTATCTTAAGCTCAGGGCCTACTTTAGGTGCAGCACGTTGTGTTTCGGTCACGAGAGAGTGGATGCAGATCATTCAACCGTGTGGGCCTGCTGGTGGCTGTAAGCAGATATTGGCGTTGAACTGCTTTTCAAATGCAGTAGTGCTTCGTATGCTAAACTGTGAAGCACATGGATACCTTACGCCATGTAAGTAGTGCCATTCGTTTCATGCCTAAATTCACTGCAGCAGTAGTGCTTTTGGAACAGCAGCCTGGATTTTCATCCAGTCAATTAGTGCCTTGCTAATAAGCGAGGTAATATGCATGATTGATGATATTGCTTGAAACGTATGGTTTGCCAAATATTAGGCAAAAGGCAGGACATTTCGTTACAAACCGTTCAAGAATGTTTGTTCTAAACGACATTATCCATCAACACCGTGAGACAGAGCTAAAATACAGTCTGAAAACATCTGACAAGCCTTAACAACGGCTAACAGCACCAATTCCTGTTCTACTTCTCCAACATGGTTGTTAACAGCCAGATCCACCTGCCGCCAGCCCAAACATCGTCTGACAGCCCCATCACTGTTAGAGAATCTGTTAGGCTAACATTTCCTAACAGGCACGCCTGTTAGCCGCTGTTAGACCCCCTATGAGTTGGTAGGGAAGGAAACCCGCCAACTCCGCCTTAGCCTGCCTCAAGGAAATGACTGGATGGCACTCGTGTGTGCACCTTAGCCTCACTGCAAGATGTAATGTAATGTTACAGAGTGGGAGGCTTCTGGGCCGCTTTATCACATTGTCAGTTCTACGATGTATCACCTTATAGCACCATCCACCACTACCACACTGTACTTCGCCATATGAACTGTAAGTCCAAGGCGGCGGATCCAGCCATCAGGGACCCCTCCTCATCCATACACCTGAACACCCGAAGAGATGGAGGGCTCGGCAATCGCCACCAATCCAGCGTGCGAATCTGGTTCATCAACTGTGACCTCAACTCCACATCTAAGCAGCTAGCCATAATCTCGCGCTCCTGACTAATTCGGGGATCTCCCCGGGAATGCAAGATATCAAATACTCCTGGATAACATGTAGCTTCTCAATGCCCCATTTGACCAGGCTGGGCTGGTCAACATCGGGATACTCCAGGGGATCAAATAGGGCCAAAGCACTGATGAACCTGGTATCAGGAAACCGCTCATTGATGTGGTGAATGAGATTCACAGCATACTTAGAGACCAGCTTGTGCACCTCGGCCTCAGGATGAGCAGGCACATCGTGGATTGTGTGACCCTTGTACAACCCGAACCCCCTTGCCTTCATCTCGGCAAAGAATGCTGACAGTGCAGGGGTGAGGTACTCTCCTGGCTCAACAGCTACATAGCATGCATGCAATGCATTCTTGGTGCACTCGACACACCCTGGTACATCACTGAACTTGAACTCAGAAGCCTGCATGAGCTTGAACATGGCATTCATTGTTCCCAGGACATCGGCCAAAAGTGAGTGAAGGCATGTGTAGTGAAGTCAGTCAGCTTCTCATGAAGGGAAGCAAACTTAGCAGCCTCGTCAGCAGGCTTGCCGCCACCTGATGGATCCACATCAATGCCATCATCATCACACTCACTGGACAAGACAGACTCGGTGTCAGACGGGTCGTAGCCACTGTCACTGTCATCAGCTGTTGCATACACAGAACCGTTCATAGGGGGAGGAGCAGTGGGAGGGGGTGGTGGCAGAGGTGGTGGGGGAGGCTGCAGTAGAGTTGCCTGCTGTGGCTGAGCTAGCTGAGATAATGTATGGCGGATGTTAAGGTAAACACTAGCTTTGAGAGGTTCTTATAATGAACAGTCCATTGACGACCTTGACCAGGGGCATCAGCCCCTAAACGCTTTCAGAATGTGCTGGTACTGGTTCCTTTTACTCATCTTAACTTTAGCTCTGTTCACTTGCATCCTTAGTGGCAGAGGGAGATCCAAGTCCTCGCTTTCACGTTCTGGCAGAGCTGCAACCTTGCATGATGTCCAGGCTGGAAAACAGTGCACTCTTGCAGATTTGTTACCTAGGCAGCAACCGGATGTCATTGACCTAGAAGCTCCTGCAGCAGGGCTGGAGGTTGATTTTCAAGCTGCCAACATGCTTTCACTGCTCCACAATTCACCTTCTCCACCTCCACCTGTGCCCATACCGCCACCACCTCCCATATCCGATGCTAACGAGGACAACACCGGACAGCAGGCTCTTGGACCCACCAAAAAATGTCCAAAGGTTGTGGTGCCATCAGCTCCCACAGGCCCTGCAGAACCCGCCACCAATGCTGACCCTGGGCCCTCAACCGCCATCACCACCACTGCTACCAAGACACCATCCCGGCTTCAAGTGCCAAGGCGGAAGCTTCAGCCTTTTCCTGAAGGCTGCAAGCATCCGGAAGGAACTTCCGGTGAGGACAAGGGTTTCCTAGCACAGGCCAGCAGTGACAACTTCTCCAGCTGGGCTTACTTCAAGAATCAGACAGGAACACAACGAGATGGCAAGGTGTACTTCACAGCAACCTGCTGGCACTGTTCATGGCATCAGAAGAAGGAATTCAACTTAGTCCGTTGTGCCTGGGATCGCTCGGCCATCACAGACCATGAGAGGAGGGAAAAGCACAGCAAAGCCGTGACAGCTTATAAGGATAGGAGGGCCCAGGAGACTCAGCAGCAGCTGATGGCATCCATGACTCAGATTGGGGACGAGGCATTGATGGCTTTGTTTGGGGCCACCTATACTGTCATTGCTACTGGGATGCCATTCACTCACTACGAGAAGCTATGCGAGCTCCTAGTGTTTGCCAACACCCCTAACATCTCCACCAAGTATGATGATCCTCATGTGTTGGGGAGGTTCACGGCGTGCTTTTCCCCCCTCTTGTAGTCTGTGAAGGCAATCCCAGGCACAACGGACTAAGTTGAATTCCTTCTCCTGATGCCATGAATAGTGCCAGCAGGTTGCTGTGAAATACACCTTGCCATCTCTTGTGTTCCTGTCTGATTCTTGAAGTAAGCCCAGCTGGAGAAGTCCTCACCGCCGGCCTGTGCTAGGAAGCCCTTGTCCTCACCAGGAACTTCTGGATGCTCACAGCCTTCAGGAAAAGGCTGAAGCTCCTGCCTTGATACTCGAAGCCGGGATGGTGTCTTGGTAGCAGTGGTGGTGATGGTGGTTGAGGGCCCAGGGTTCTGCAGGGCCTGTGGGAGCTGACGGCACCACGACCTTTCGACATTTTTGCCAGGTCCAAGAGCCTGTTGTCCGGTGTTGTCCTCGTTAGCATCAGATATGGGAGGTGTTGGAAATGACCGACACTCATATACCAGTGAATGGTAGCCACAGTAATAGGACCCAATGGGGGTCCAGCGCTTTGCTGGTCTTAACAGGAGGTGGTGGCGGTATGGGCACAGGCGGAGGTGGAGAAGGTGAATCGTGGAGCAGTGAATTCACGCTTTCGAAAGCACGTTGGCAGCTTGAAAATCAACCTCCAGCCCTGCTGCAGGAGCTTCTAGGTCAATGACGTCTGGTTGTTGCCTAGGTAACAAATCTGCAAGAGTGTGCTGTTTTCCAGCCCGGACGTCGTGCAAGGTTGCAGCTCTGCCAGAATGTGAAAGCGCGGACTTGGATCTCCCTCTGCCACTAAGGATGCAAATGAACGGAGCTAAAGTTAAGATGAGTAAAAGGAGCCAGTACCAGCGCATTCTGAAAGCGTTTAGGGGCTGATGCCCCTGGTCAAGGTTGTCAATTGAGTGTTCGTTACGAGAACCTCTCAAAGCTAGCGTTTACCTCCTTGTAAAATGGAAGGTTTGGTAACCTAATGATAAAATTTATAGCTTCAAAACTGCGCAAACCTGCCTTTTGGGGGGAATTTCTGCACCCTGCCGTACGGCTGCCGTACCCCTGATAAAGAATAGAGTTGAATTTCTGCAACGGGTACAACGGAAGGACCCGTGGTACCCGTGGCGTTTGCCCACCTCTGATGGCGCAAGACGATGATGCGGTGCTAGCATGGTTGTTTCCACTGCTGGGGAAACCCCGCCGTGCCATGTGCAGCGCACGCAAGCACGGGCTGGCATGGCGACGACTCGGACTGCGATGAACGAGCAGCGCTTATAATGCTGCTTTTTTGGGCGCCGGGAAGGCGCCAAAAGTTCTTTTTGGTTTACTGAACGAAATTTTGGACTCCCGCAGCCACAAAAGCCGATTTGCCGACCTCTGGCCTGGTAGGTGCTAGGTGGTGAAGGGACCGTACGACCTTGGGCCTTCACCGAACATAACGGAAATGCAGATTCAACATTGAAGCATGACATGTCAGCCTTAATCAGCTCAAATTCTACAGCGTGGCTTTGGATAAGGGCCATACGATGTCAAGCGAGTTCATTGATGTGTTCTTTCCCCTTACTTCATACCTGGTGCGGACACGGCATCCGCGCACCTGGTACCACTTCTTCCCGCCGGAGCTGCAACGCCAGTGTTCCCGACCCTTATATGAGGTTACGGTTGACAGGGAAGGGCGCTATGTTGTGCCCGTTAGATGGCCGGCGCTGGCGCCAGTCATCCTGCTCGGCGTTGCGGTGAGTCATCAATTAGTTGCCGCGATGTTGCATAATCTTATTTGGTGAAAAAATGCTTTGCAGGTTGGCTTATACGGATACTTTCAGCTTCAAAGGGCTGTTCAACCAAAATGGCGTCGACTGCCTACATCATCCTGGGCTCTGGTAAGTTGGTAATTGCTCGACTATACCTTCGTATGAAAACTTGTTTCCTGAAAGTGACGAGAGCTCTATTTGTGCTGAAAGTCTTCCTTTGTTCCAAGTTTGACGTCGTTTGACCCACAAACACAGGCCATGTCTTTCTACGCTATGATGAACATCTCAGCCCTCGGGAGCCACTGCCTGGTGTCCCGTTCAAGTCCCGTGCAGCCACTGTTTATTTCTCTGGACATAGCTGCCACAGCCTGCTCGGCGTTTTCAGCGTTATATGCCTGTGTCAACGACGAGCTCTCGGACACGTTCCAACCCGTGGCTGCTGGACGTGCAACAAGGGGGCTTCGCAAGAAACAAGTTGTCAACCTTTTGCTGGGAAACTGCATTTTAAGCCTCTTGGCGTAAGTGCTTTCACTTCATGCGCTTTGCTGACGGGGTTGCTGCGCCCCCGTCAAATCAAATGACGGCCTTCAGGCACGCACATAGCCATTGGTTTTAACCGCTTGTGCTTCACATCTTATCACCGGGAGAGGGTCTTAATGGATCTGTACAAAGATGTGCTCGTGTTAGGAAATTTAAGCAGTTATGGGGACGTTACCTTCAAACCTGACGGCTCGGTTGGACATGCGTGCGATTGGTTGGCACCGCAACAGCCACCCGTTTCACTCACAAGAGATAATCTCCCACGGCGACATGCACGGGACACGAGAGCCTTCGAGCTGGGGTGGTCCATCCCCTCTACTGTAAAGATAAGGAATGCAACACTGATACAGTTGCACCTCCCTATAAACCCATCATTTTATTAAGTTTCGTACTCGTACAAATTGCGATGCTCTCCACGCCCTCTTCTCAGGTTCGCTGGACTGCAAATTCCGTTCATGGCCGAGATGCTGTACGTCGGTACGACAATTCTGGCAGCGTTCGTTGTGGGCACGTACCTTCGCCGTCGGCGCCAGCTGGGTCGCCAGCGGCTGTGGAAGCGGCTGACGTTCAGCGGCGGCTTGCTGGCCATCTCCGGCATCCCCCTGGACGCCACCCTCTGCCGCCGATTTGGGCCCCACATCAACCACGTCACACTGCTCTTCATGGGTTGCCACCTCAGCATGCTGGGGCTGCTCCTGTACGTACGGGAGGAGCTGATCTTGCGGTATGGTGACGCAAACGCTACGGTGGCAAAGGCTGCCGCTGGCGGTAGCGATAGTGGAGACGCAGGTTTGGGTGCTCAGGAGCCTGACGGCGCAGAGCTCCAGCATTTGTTGGGTAGCGAGGCCGTAGCCGCTGCCGGCAGTAGCAGCGGGGTTCTGGCGGCTGCGGGGGGCATCAGTGGGGCTGCAGGGGCCGGGGCTTCCGCGGGAAATGGAAGTTCTGGAAAACGCAAAAATGAATGAGATCTACAGCGAAGGTATTAGCTTGCCTGCGGACAAAGGAGGAGGATGGGGGTTTCCCGTCGTCATCGGGGGACTTTATGGGGGTTTTATTTATGCAGTGATGTGAATTTTATCCCAAAGAAGATTGGAGTATGATGCTCGAGATGGAAGTGAAAGGACGGCGTGACCTCTGGATGTGGGACCAGCAGTCAATCACATTGTTTAGCTTCGATGCACATGCTGTGATGTTGCCAATTAGCAGCGCAACAGTGACGGGTGTTAGTGCGATCATTTTTGTCTAGCATCTGAAAGCCACCATTGGCCAAACCCCTGAGACGCGCACTGTGTGTGTGTGTGTGTTGACCGCCTGGCAACTGGAAGCAGACAACGGTAGAGGGAGATTGACTGTCGGTCATGTTCCCATTCCAAGGTACGCATGGAGGTAAAAACTGGGGACGCATCCGTCCAATGATCATTTATGCCCACATTTATGCCGTGGAAACGAACAAGAAAGGCAAGAGCGACACTTGGTTCGATGAGTGCCTGTGTGTCTGTGCCTGTGTGTGCAGAGGGCGGGGATCACTGTCTTGCCAAATAATTCATGATGAGATGCTGCGGGGCGGGAGTTCCGGTGGCACTGCTGGAAGAGCCTCCATGATTGCTAACTGCAACCCACTGTGCCATTCCTATTTTGTTTTTTAGATGAACGATTACGGAAGTAGCAGGAGTGCCCACTGACGCATTCATGTCCTCTGTCCAACGGCTCTCCGGCGGTCCTTCGGTCGGTGGTTGCATATTTTGCTTCCAAGGGACGTGTAGCTCAGCCCTTGGGGTTGGGGCTTTGAGATCACTACACACGGGTGGTTCAGGTTGAGGTTCCTCGATTTGGGTCGTTGCGGTCTCACTTTTTTTATATGCAGGATGTATCCAGGCCGAGGTGCTGGCGGCATCAGTGTCGGCGCAGCAGGGAGGCTTTGGCTAGAGATGGTTTGGGTCAGGCCTTCGGGGAAGGGCACGTGGTGTCTCTGTTCTCCTACAGTAAAGGGGTCGGTGGCGGTAATACTGATTGGTGGTCTGGATCACGGAGGGTGTAGAGCGGTGGTTATGGGCTCAGCTGCCCACGACGCCACGTTGCCGACAGGGAACAAGCCCTAGTTGGCAGCGCCGTCGACGCAAGCCTGACAGCTGCTGTGGGTAGCTGTGCTTACTATCCCGGATTGCGTCCTGGTCGGGAAAAGGTGGTGGAGGTGGAGGAGGTAATAGGGGCGATGAGGCGGGGTTGCTGGAAGCGCATAGGCAGAAGGGGCCCAAGTGCAAGGGTGTGGAGAATGGTTGGTGGATGGGTTCGTTGGGTTCCAGGATCGTATGCAGTCTGCGAGAGTATACTGGCCAAGTATTGCGATGTGTGTAGGTGGGTAGTATACCCACGCTAGAGTCGAGGCGCAGTAAGGCATCCTATACAGTCTTAAGGTTAACTCCTCTGTTTCAGACGATTTGCCACAGGCCATTATGTACGACGTCGCGTGGACAGTACGTCACTGCAAATCGTCAAGATAAATTCCTGAAGCTGCAAACATCCTGACCGCGAGCCCAGACAGCAATTGGGCGAAAAAACCCTAACAAACACGGAACCTACACACATAGGCTATTATCATACAAAATGCTCGCATCCTCTATAGGACTGTTGACAAGCCGGGACCGAAGCAATGCCTGCGAGTATGACCCCTCAGGCGCCCTAAGCTATAAAACTAAAGCCAGCAGCACTTCCTGCTTCTGTAAAAGCCTAATCCTATCCCTGAACCTTCTTCTGGGCACGCTTCAGCGCCCTAAACCAGCGATAGCGCCCAATGACCGATGGTGGGTGCAACTTGGGCCGCTCCTCACGCAACAGCTGCTGCCGCTCCTGCCGCTTTAGCCTAGCTTCCTCCTGCTGACGTTTTCGCTCCTCCTCCTGCTGCAGCCGCTTCTTCTCCTTCTCCCTCTTTACCTGCTGCAACATCAACTGGCGCTGCTCGCCATTTATCATCTGCTGGATCTCCCGTTCCCGTCGCCGCTGCCGCTGCAGTTGCAACCGTACGGCCAACCTCAAACCTGCCGACGGAGGCGGCGGCGCTTGTGGCGTCACCGTCGTCGTTGTCGGGACCGTGCCTGGCGGTGGCGGTCGGCCAATATGGAAATCCACCATGTTGACTCCAGGGATGCTGCGAAGGCCCATTCTCGCGGCTACGTGGCGAGAGAGCAGCGGCGGCTGAGGCAGACCTGAAGAAGGGCGGAGGGGCCCGGGTTGAGGGGGGAGCGGTTAGATACACGGGGAAGGGATAGGAGTAGGAACCCTACGGAAGATATTTCGTGAAATAGGTAAAGAAGCGAAGCATCTCCCTAGCCACCTCCACCCAGCCACTCACCCATGGCTTCAGCGAACCGCCGAGCCCAGGCACCGAGTTGCTGCTCCGGCTGAGGCCCCAGACCCGCACCCAGAGCAACCCAGCTAGGCCATCCGCCGCCGCCGCTGCCGCCAGCGGCGGACACCGACACTGCCGGCCCCCACGCCGTCCCCGGCGCTACCGTGCTCGTCCTGGTCGCCCACATGTGACCCAACAGCCCCTCCAAGCCCTTGAGCTTCACATCGGGGGGCACCCGGGTAAGGGCCTTCTGGACGAGACGGGACACGTCCTCCAGAGGCCCAGACCAGGCGCCGGGCTGCGCGGGCAGCGGGGGAGGAGCAGGGGAGGCGGAGGAGGAGGAGGAGGAGGAGGGAGAGCGGAGAAGTGGAGGAAAGAAAAGTTTCATTCAGGATCAGGACACAGAGAAGCGGGAAATGAGGAGGCAGAGGGCGGTTCGGAGGCCTGTTTGCAGGAGGACTCGACAGCGGTAAGGAAAGGAAAGGAAAGACAAAATCGAACACGAACAGCAGCAGCGGAGAAGTAACCCACGTAACCCTGAAGAAACCCACGAAAACGGAGGGGGAAAGGGATTCAGCGAAGGGAAGGAGACATACATAAAAGTCCACTATCCAATGCGATAGTGCAACGATCCACTCTATCAGCAAGTCCAGGTCCACGGCAACGCACCTGCACCGGCACCACGCGCCCCAGCCCAGCGGCCGCCAGTGCCTCTCCCGCCGCCAATGCCACCACCCGCGGCGCCTCCACGTCGTTCAGAACCAGAAGGCAACGTGGCGGCGACGACGGTGACGGCGGACGGCCTTCTGCCGCCGCTACCTCGCGCGCGGCAGGAACACGAGCATTAGCATCCGCCGCCACGGCACTCGTATCATTCTTGGCAGCCGCTGCATCACCCGTGGCGGCGGTGGCATCGACAATGCCAGGGCCTTGGTTGCGGACATCACGTAGCCCCTGTCGCTGCTGTGCCGCCGCCGCAGCAGCTACGCCGCTGGCCATTGCCGTCGGCAGCGTCGCCGCCGCAGCGGCAGCAGCAGCAGTTGCAGCTTGCTGTACGGCAGCCATGTACTGCACAAGCTGTCCTGGTTGCCGTGGCAGACCCACCTGTGATGCAAAACCCCCACCACACCGACGCAATCAGTTGACTGCCAGCGATACCCCCCTTCACGTCGTTTGTCCGTACAACTTACAACCGTTCAAACAGAACCGGAAACAAACCAATACCCTTTCTTCCCCCCCCCAAACTTATTTATACACAAGCTCCCCTCTTCTCCCTCTTTTTACACATGTACCAAGTGTACCGTCAAGTTATCATGATGACCCCCTCTTTTCCCCCCCCCCCAACCCCGCTACCACGACCACTCCTTCTCCCCCCCTCCCTAACCTCCCTACTATAGGTGCCCCCACTACAGACAGCTCCTCTACACTACGCAGGATATCAATCTTACGAGGCCTCAATCTTACGAGGCCAGACACCACGACTACACCACAAAAAATCTCACTAACGTAAAAAACGGACTTTACTTCCGGCACAACCACGGGTCGATGTGGCTTCATCATCGCTTAGAGGACTATTCCCTCACTCCCTAGGGACAGTTTCGGACTATTTGGATGCCTTCCGGCAGTCAGGCAGCTCATTTCTGTGTTTTTATCGGATCATATGAATCCCCCTTCCCCCTCCTCTCCTCTCCCTCCCGTCTCCTCTTTTCTCGACTCACCCAAACCATCAGGGTCAGTCCGCAGCTCGCCCCGTCCAGCCCCCCGGATCCCATCTCGGTGCAGAACAGCAGCCCCCGGTGGGCGGCGGAGAAGTCCCGGACCGCCTCCTGACGGCCCACACGGCCCTTGCGGCTGTGCGCGCAGGCGGCAGGGAAACCCAGTGCCTGCGTGTGTACATACATACATACATATACATGCGTATGTGGGGGGTGGTATGTGTGTGTATATGCGCATGCGCGCGCGTGTGTGTGTGTGTGCGCGTAGGTTTGGGAGATCGAGGTGATTAAATATTCGACTTAAGAGTCTGGAGGGGGGTGGACTTCCGGTCACAAAGCGCAACCCCCGGCCTACCTGGAACAGCCGGGCATACAGGTTGGCCAAATGGGCGCTTGGGAACTGTACGACGATCTGTACGACAAGTGGCGTAAAGGCGGGAACAGGGGGGCAAATACCTAACAATTGAAAAGGAGTGGATGATCCTGGAAGGGGGGGAGAGAGGGTGTAAACCCGGGTAACCACAGGCCGCCGGAGGAAAAGGGTTTTTCTACACCTCGGGGGGCCCATCCATCGCCCGTGTTGGAGTCCCATCCCGTCGCTCGTCCAGCCGTACCTTGTGGCGCCCCTCGGACAGCATGTGTTGTCGTACAACAACGTAAAGGTACGGCAGGTGCTCTTCGTACGGCACGGCCAAGACGTGCAGGGGCACCAGCTGATGATGAAACGGCGGCGGCGGCGCTGTCGCCGCGCCGAGCGGGCTGACGACGGTTCCAACCTCTGACGGCACATGACGGGACGATGGCGATCCAGACGCAGCCGTACCGCCATCCATGAGGACCGCCGACGGCGACGCCACCGTCGGGCCCAAACTGAGCTTAGGCCCCAATTGCGTCAATGACCCATGGGTCGCTCCCTCACCTCGTGCCGAGGGCACTGTAACGGCGCCCCCGCTCTGCACGGCACATGGCGGCACCCAAGTGCTGCCGTCAAGCGCCGTCGCGACAGCCGCGGCCAAGGTGCGTTTGCCGCCGTCAGCATTGCCGGGGAGCGTGAACGTCGCAAAGCCGCTTCGAAGCGCCAGCCCGGTCAGAGACTTGAGATCAAACTGCAAAGAGGAGCCGTCGGCGGCAGCGGTGGCACCGCTAGTCGAGGCCGCGACCGGCGCCGCCGTGCCCTGGAGGCCTTGGCGCGCCAACAGTGTTGCTGGTGGAGGTTGCTGCGTCCTCAGCGGGCGAGATACCTCAAACAGCTGGTCCGCAGCACGGAAACGAAGCGCCGCGGCGGCGGCGGCGGCGCGAGCCGTCGTTGGCGGCCCTGCGCCTTCGCTACCGATACCTCGGGCTCCACTCACCGGCGCTGCCGGCAGTGACGTCACGCCGCCGCCAGCAGTTGCGTATTCAGCGACGCTGGCAAAAGTGTTGGCGGCAGCGGCGGCGGCAACGAGCGTCACGGCGCGGGACACGTACCCTCCCGCCGTCCTTCCCGCCGCCGCCGCAACTGCCCCCCTTCGCTCCGGAACCCTCCTCCGCGGCGATGCCGTAGTGGTGCAGAGGGCCGCGTTGGGCAGCAGCCGCAGCAGCCTCTCCACCTGTGGATGAAAATCGGGACGATCGGGTGGTGAGAGGAGGCGTGGTGGAGCCCGATTGGGATGTAAAAAGTACAAAACATACGACCGCCGACATACAGACATTCTGACAGATAGACCGGCACAGATCCTTTCTCCTCCACATTCTCTGTGCCCCCAGGCCAATGTGGTGAAACCCGCCGGCACCAGCGGCCAGCTGGCCCGATGGCTCTACTCTTCGGGAGTCTGGAGCCCACTGTAACAACCACACACACACACACACACACACACACACCAGCGACACCACGCCCACCCTGCCTCACAGCCTCACCTGCGGCCGGAAGGCCCGGGAGGACAGCACCTCCGCGCCGTCAAAGACCAGCACCCGTAAGGATTCGAACAGGTGGCCTAGCTGCACCTGCGCACAGTAAATTTCATGACATTACAGGTGCAGCAGTCAGAGACTATAAAAGACAGCCATGATGATTCACTTGCATTCACAAAGTCTACGAAGGCCGAGTATTAACGGGGTGGATGAGACGCAGTTCGCAAGCAAGTGGCAAACAAAAAACACGGAACCCCACACAAAATATTACAACAACACACAAAATATTACAACAACAATAATAATAATGATAATAATAGTAATAATGACCAGTTGGCGTTGTGGGAGCCAACTGCGGCATGGCTCCCTGAACGTCTATTACCCCCCACCCCACCTGGTCGGTAGTCAGCAGCTCCAACATCCTCCCTGGAGTGGTCAGCAGCAGATCGGGGGGCTGGGAGCGAAGTCCAGAAACATCTTCACGGAAGCTGGTGCCCCCGTGGATGGCCTGCTTGGAACCGAGGAAAACGCACACGGAGAGCGAGTGGGGGAGTAAGGAAAACAGGTTTCAAATAGGTTATATGAAGGTTACTGCTGGTAAAGGTATATCCAAGGTTATTGCCGATATTTATTTATGCATATTAGCGAAAAGGGAAAAACCGGGCCCAACCCCCTACACGCCAAATGAGTTGCAGACCCACCCACCATGACGTGCATGGCCTCCGGCCCTCCTCCGCGCTCCGCCAGCAACGTGAACGCCGCCTCCTGTAGCGCCTCCACTCGCTCTCTGCTGGGGCCCACAACCACACAGCCCACACGGCCGCGACCCGCGGGTCGGTGCACCAGCTGAGGACTCCACCGCGAGAGCCATCCATCCAGCCAGCCAGGCATCCAGCCAGAATTCCACATGGACCAGGACCAGACCAGAGAACCCCCGCGGGCAAGAAGAACCGGAACAGAACAGCATCAGCATCAGATCAGGGGTACCATATCTACTTCACGGCCGGCACTCTCAACCCGCACGCAGTCTTCTGCTGCCACCGAGCGTTCCCTGAGTTCCCTGTTGCTCAGCATCAAATCCCCCCATGAGGTAAGGAACCGCAGCGCGGGCGACACGGACCAGGCGCGTATAGAACAGCACCAACAGCACCATCACCAGCGCCAGTCGAAAAGCACCCCACCAGGTCAGGTCAGGTCAGGGCATGCGGAGACCGAGGAGAGCCGTACACGACGACAATGACAACGACGGCAACGTAAAGAACCATCCCATCCCATCCCATCCCATACAGGGGGCAGAGGGCGATCTAGGGATGTGGTGGACGGCGGCTGTTAATACACACCAGCATTGCCATTATCACCACCGCTACCACCCCCTGGAACACATATTTCGTGTAGAATATACTTGTGTGGGGATGGCGAGGAGATGGAACAGGATGGCGCAGGGGGGTATCTACTCGTGTCCTACCACGATGTGTTTTACGTCCTCCCCCCCACCCGTCCCCCCACCCGTCCCGGCGCTGTACACCAGGAATTAAAGTTACCCTCGACAACAGACGTGTAAATCACAATAAAAAACACACCCACCCTTTCTCCCCAGGTGCAGGAGGTTACAGAGGCGACTGCAAGCACTGCAGCTTCCATGCACACCCAGTCCCCTTCGCTTCCGTTCCTTCCCCCCTCTGCCCCCCCGCCCCTTTCATGCCCCTTACCCCGCCCCTTTCATGCCCCTTTCTTACCCGCTCCACCGCCGCCACCAGCACACTCAGATCTCGGGGTCGTCCAGATGGTCCTAGGAGCACCACATCCACATCCACGTCGCCATCACCGCCACTGCTGACGCCGCCGCCGCCGCCGCTGTTGCTGCCGGGCATCGCGCACTCCCTGCCGGCGCCTATACCTCCCCCAAGTCGAGACATCACCGTTTGTGATGTCGTACTGGCCGTACTGGTCGCCAGCATGTCATTGCCGCTGCCGTCAGCAAGGCGGCCTCCGCCGCCACGTGGATCGGACCCGAGCGCGGCGGCGGCGGCGGCGGCGGTGGCGCCACTGCCGCCGCCAATTTCGGACCCGAGAGGGTGCGACGCGACATGCTGCTGACGGAGCGCGCTCGCTGCGCCTGCAAGCGGGTGCAGCTGGTGTTGTGGAGGCTGTCGCTCTGAAGCGATGGTTGTGATGGTCGTGGTGCTGGCGGTGCTGGTGGCCGTGGTAGTGGACGAGGATGGAGCGCTGTGAAACGTTTCGGAGCGGTTACCACACCATACCTGCAGTTTCCCGGAACCGAAGGAGAAGGGGAAGCCAAAACGAAGCCAAAACAAAAAACGCACGCCCAAAGTGTCAAGTGGAGAAGGAGGGGAACTTAGGAGTGGGGGGTAGAGGCTGATATGGAGGGGAAAGGCAAGGGGGGATTCCAGGGAAAGAGAACAAAAAATGGAGCCGGGCGGCAGTTTTGGGTTTGGGTTTTTTCTTGGGGTCGATGGCACCCTGAGTACAGCATATTGTTGCGCTTTAGCCCTGTGGTACACCCACCTCCAGTGGCCCTGCGCTAGCGAGCGCCAGGTCTACGGGACGGAAGCCTCGTGCCAGCGCGCGCGCGGTGGCGGGGGAGAGGGGGAATCCAGAGGGCGGACCCGAACCGCTGGGCCCTTGCGCGTTTTTGCCGGTAAAGGTTCGTGATGCAAGGGATATGGAGGAGGAGGGGGTGGAATGGACGACAGCGGGAGCTGGGTCTTCTTGCCAGAGGGCCAGGTCGCTGGCATCGGTATCATCGTAGGTATGTGATGACGTTCGCCTGCGCTTCACGCGATAGCGGGCGGACCTCCTGCGGTGGAACCTGGTCCCAGCCTTAGGAGCGATGCGTTTATCTGCGTCTGCTCTGGACTTCGGAGCTGGGTAGTCCTGGACCCCGGAAGACTGCGCCTGCAGGATGATTAGACTGGTCCCCGGACATTTTCGGAGCTCAGCGCTGATGCTGATGGCCAGGTTGAAGTGTTTAGTGGGCTGATGACTCTGTGCCGGGCCTCGTGCTCGAAGAGTCGAGGGCGCGGCGGCTCCGAAGCGGCCAAGGCACCGAGCTGCTCCGTTTACAGCCTCGGGCGCGTACATCATAATCTATTAGAACAGATTTACGTTGTACGTATTCCCGATATCTTGTAATGGATGCATTTTGCTTGTAGACTTGGGGAAAACATTCGGTGGCAGCCGTGGAATATTGGCTTGCAGACAAAAGTCGTGATGCAACAAGAACAGAGCGTCTGCGACTCCTCTTAATAAATCCGGTAATGGACCACGTGCATACATAAATTATGAAGCTGCGCAGCTCGCTATCTTACGTTTAAATTGCTACGAATTGGCGTCGACAGTGATTAGAACAGTCGTCTGAAACACACCAATACCCATCCCTTAGTAACACGACTGTCACAAGTACACCGCCACCTTACGAAAAAGGTCGTACAATTGGATTTCGGGAGATAGCCCTTGGCCCTTCATGCCTAGGCAGCGTGTCCGAATCCAGGACAGCGCCCAGAGGCGCGCTTATGAGGACTGTGGCGTGTGAAATGATAAAATTTTGGTTGTGCGGTTGAGGGCATTTTTGCAAGCGGATGCAGGGACATACCCACTCCCTCAATCAAGCCGTCGCTCCTGCGGGACCTAGAGGGACAGTCCGCGGCGTGGTCGTGGCATCTGCAAGCCACTCCTCTACGATATCTTTCTACCATACCATCCCAAGAGACTAAGAGGCAAGATCAAAACACAAAACTCCAATACCACCCTGCGCATGGCCTGCGTAACGTGCATGGGAACGACTTGCGAGGGATTGGACGGACCAGGACGGACGGTGATGTTTGTAACAAGCCGCAATCCCGATGCGTCTTAGCTTTGCCAGCCATGGCGAACCCTAAGCCCGTCATGAGTCTTGGATGTCCTGTTGAGTCTGGGTTGATCTTCAGGTCCTTACATGGCGGTTGCTGGTGGTGCGCCTGGTGCGCCTTCTGGTTGTATCTTAGGGGGCCCGGCATCCAATAGGGGAACCCCACAAAATTAACGAGCAGCCAGCATACCTTAGTTATAGCTTGCAGCGGTGCAGCGCAGGGAAACCGATTTTCCCCAACCGATAGCGAAGGGAACTTTGAAGCGGCGATTTTCGGGAATAACACCCGGCACGTCCGTCCTTAACCCTCTATGCGGGCCTGCAGCCCCCGCGCACACCGTACTGCTTGGGTGAAAAAACGAGCTAAAAAATAGATATCCTGCAGCTTAGAGGCAATTCGTAGCCCTGCATTCGCAAAATTGTCGGCGGCTGGGACCGTACGGTGCGATGGGAGATTGACTACCACCCAAGCGAGAGATATCAATCTTTTCTTTCATTGTTAAAAACGACTACATGAATTAGCTCTGTTGCTGTAGTGGAAGCGACAGAGCGATATGTCAGCAAGGTGAGCATTCATGGCGAGGCTGACTGCCACGCTTGCGCACCATCAGCTGTAGTTCGGATCTCACCCAGATGAACATTTTAACAGATCTGATGAGCCCGTAGAGAACGGGGACGATGTGGAGGAGAATTCCGAGGTGCGTCAGCCGCAATTTTACTTGTTTGGAAGATCAAGACATCAGCTCGGGGAGCAATAATGCTTACCGAACAAACGTTCTCTTAACATTGGCGATAAGATTGAATTGGCCTGGCTTACTCGCAGGAGTTCGAGGAGCAAGCCGAGGAGGACGAGTACGAGGAGGTAGAGGAAGAAGCGGTGACGAGGGAGGAATCCAAGAATGGTAAGACTAAATTGTGTTCTTGAACTGCATATGGGCCGACATATTCGTTGGGCGCACCGGCTGTCAAAACGTTCCCCCAACTGCAATCCGGCCGTCGTCTCACAATCCTGCTATTCGCAAAGCCATGTAATTATGCTCCCTTGCTGTGTACTTTACAGCGACATCTTCCGACGCTCCGAGCGCGCCAGCGGCCGCAGCGGCTGCGGTCGCGGGGGGAATGCCATCCCTGCCGGCGCGGCCTAAGGGCGGTCTGGGCGGCCTTCCACCACGGGGTTTACCTGCGCTGTCATCTAAGTCCGCCTCTCCTCAGTCCTCGTCGCCGCCAGCGCCGTCAGCAGGCCCGTCAGCGGCACAGCCCGCTGCTGCCGCCTCCGGCTCCGCTCCCCCCATCGCATCTATGCCGAAACTCCCCCCGCGGCCAGGCGCACCCTCAGGCCTAGGTCTAGGCTTGGGCCTGGGAGCCCGTCCCGCGGCTGGAGCTCCGAGACCACCCTCTGAGGGTGTACCAGCCGCGGCGGCGACTCCAGCCGCCGCTGAAACCGCCCCAGCAGCGGCGGCGGCAGCAGCTCCGCCAGGTGTGCAGCAGCCAGCGGCAGCGGCGGCGGCGGGTCCTGCCGGACTTGGTTTGGGTCTAGGAGGTGCCGCTGCCCAGCGGCCCACTCTGCCGCCGCGGCCGGCCACCGCAGGTACGGCTACGTCGTCAGCAGCGGCGGCGGCGCAGCCTAGGCCGGCTGGGGCCCAATCAGTCGGCGGCGCTGCCGCCGCCGCCGGCGGCGTACGGGCTATGCCCGGCCTGCCGCCACGGCCTGCAGGTACGAGCAGAATAGGGTTTGTTCCCAGTCTTTGGCAGGCCCGATGTGCGTGTTTGTATGTATGTCTGTATGTGTACGGTCTCACCTTGAATGCGGACGGGAGAGAGATAGAGCGTGGGGGGGGGGAAGAGAGCGAAGGGGGGAACGAAACAGCACAGGTAAAGAAGAGCGCGGGGAAAGGAGGTGAGGATAAGCATCTGCGGTGGGGAGGGGCCAAATGTTAGGTTTTATAAATTGTACGTCATTCCGTCGTAGCGTCAATTTCTCTTCAGACTCTTCAACGATCCCTAAGTACGACTACATTACTGTCCAGGGAGGGAGGGAGAGGAATTCTTCGCCTTGAATGTTTTTTTTTTGATAATTGGTTTTTCATCCGTCGGGGTTTTACATGGGCACGTACACATAGGCCTCGGAGGCGCCCCGCCAGCGCCAGCTGCCGCCGCCGCCGCCACGGCCGGCGCTGCTGCGGCTGCCACTCCTTCCATGGACGTGGTGGACCGTACGGAGGACCGCCGCGTGCAGCGTGTGCAGCGTACGGCACATGAGATCCGTGTACGGCTGATTCGTGCCGCCACTCGTCTGGGCCTGTCCCCCCGCTCTGACCAAGTGGCGCAGTTCCTGCAGGTATATGTGTATGTATGTATGTATATACGTATGTATGTAGCTGTTAGCTCGGTGGTGTGCGGTGGAAAAGCATTAAAGGTAGAAAAGTGTGTCGGGTGTATGTACGTCTGTATTTGCATGCGTCCTTCTGCACATGTATGTATGTATGTACGTGGGGGAGGGAGCGTGCGGACAGGGGGAATTGTGTCGATGTAAGTATCCCCATCACCATCATCACCATCAACGTCATCACCACCATCACCATTATCACCATCAACGCCATTATCACCATCAACACCACCATCAACACCACCATCAACACCACCATCAACACCATCACCATTATCACCATCAACACCATCACCACCATCACCATTATCACCATCACAGGCTATCGAGCGGTCCGAGCGCATGGTAGGCGCGCAGCACTACAAGGGCACCCGCCGCGTGGACTTGATTGCGGCGGCGGAGAGGGAGGCTCGGGAGCTGGACTCCAGGGAGCCCCCCCACAGCCCCATTGCGGGACTGAGACTCAAGATACTGGTGCTGGGGATGACTGGTGGGTGCGGAGGGGGGGAGCGGGGGGGGGGAGGGGAGGGGTTCATCTAGGACGGGGGGCTTCTTTCCAAGGTTGCAATGTTACACACACACTCACACACACACGCGCGCACGAACGTTAGACTCTCCAGCACTTTGGTACGTTGGACGTGTCGGCAGTGTTGGCTCCTTGTCTTTAGCACACACACACACTCAACACCCCGCTTCCCCTTTTCTCCTCCCCCTCACCCCCATTTCTTTCATCCCTCCCTCCCCCCTCTCTCTCCCCCGCCCTCTCCCCCGGGCCCTTAGGTACGGGCAAGAGCGAGCTAATCAACTCGCTGCTGGACCGCCCCGCCTCCTCCCGCACCAGCCCCTTCCGGGAGGCGACGCGGCGGGTTCGTGTCATCCGGGGCCACCATAACGGCATCCCCCTCACCTTCATCGACACACCCGGGCTGCACGCCTCGGTCTCCTGTACGGCAGAGAACAAGGCCATTCTAAGGAGCATCAAGGCGGCGTACAA